GAACTGCTATGCAGAAGCACCCACACATACAAGACATACACGTTATCCCTTCCTTAGCTGAGCCCTCCGTGCTTCCCAGTGCTCACAACCATACTCCTACCCAATGGTCACTCTTAATGAAAGACCTCCCCTCCTCAGAGAGAATACCCACGCTCCTCGGGGGGTGGCGGATCTATGCCAGTTACCCTCTTTTTATAAACTTTTCCAATTCTCCTTGTTCTCTCAAAACAAATGCCCTAGGGTTCTAAATCCCACCCTTTCTTGCTGCCTCAGGGACGCTACTCTAAGACCCTTTCTATCCTTCGTCTTCGATCTCTTCTCTTCTGTCTCTTCCCTGTCAACCTGTAACATGTTCAAGTACACCACCTGCAAAACAAAACAAAACAAAACACCAAACCCCCCTTTGATCTTCATCCACTTTTAATTCCATAATTTTGGCCACTACCTCACTCTGTGACCCTGGATTACCTTCTTACCCTCTCTACTAGGCTTCATTTTCTGCATGTAAATAATGAGGGCACTGGACCAGAAGGTTTCTAAGGTCCTTTGAATTCCATTGTTCTATGGTTCTTTTTTTTTTTTTTTAAAGGTTTTATTTATTTGACAGAGAGAGATCACAAGTAGGCAGAGAGGCAGGCAGAGAGAGAGGGAAGCAGGCTCCCTGCTGAGCAGAGAGCCTGATGCGGGACTTGATCCCAGGACCCTGAGATCATGACCTGAGCTGAAGGCAGAGGCTTAACCCACTGAGCCACCCAGGCGCCCCTGTTCTATGGTTCTTAATGCAGAGTAGAATTTTTTGAACAAGTTTAGTTTCTTCATTGTCCCCTGAAGCCTCAAAGTTAATTTTCTTCTAAGACTGCCAAGGTGTTTCTGTAGCCAGCAGTGCCCCCACCCCCCTCCCACTCATTTGCCCTTTGACTTCCCTTTAAGAGTTAGCTTCAGCCTCACCTGCTCCAGGACATCCTGATCTTTAACTCTTACAGCACCTCAGTTAGGGAGCACAATGGAACACTCTCCATTAATAGTGCCATATCTTTCACGTATCTTTCCTGCGTATCTTTGTTCCCTCACTTAGACTAAGCTCTCAGCTAGCAGGCACTCTGTCACATTTCTCTGTAATCCCTAAAAACCCTCACACTGAGTAGGTCTGCAACAGTTGCTCAGTGATGCTGATCGGCTGACTGAGGGGTCCCCCAGGAGCCACCAAGGAAACTGGTGGTCAGTGTGAATTACAAGGCTCTCTGGGAAGGAAGACTACCTCGAGCTACTCCTCTCTCAGACACATGGATTTGTAAAACCCAGATTTTTCATTCAAGAGCATCATCCAAATTTAGGAACAGGAAAGCTTAGTTAACTCCCTGATTTTTTTTTATCTGAATCAGAACAGTAACAGCCATGTTTCCCTTTGATCCAAACTTAAAGTGACTGCAGGCCTGTAACTTTATGAGTCTCTGGCTGATCCAGGTTCTACACTTCCACTAATACATATTCTCCAAGGTTATTAAGTTCCTTACTTTTCAACACATACAGCATTATGTTACTTCCTCATGCTTGCAACCAAATTTCCAGGAAACATCTGGAATAATATTAAAGAGTTGGTGTTATATCAAAACTACATCCTCTGCTTTACTCATTTGGAAGTGACTAATTTCAACCCTGAGGTTAGAAGTGAGCACAGATGGATGTGTATGTTTTAGGAGTCTGCTAGCACTTACCAAAAGAGATGCCAAGTCACTAATGAAAAACCCTAAACAGTGTTCACTCCTTCACCTTCAGAGAACTACCGAGCTACCATGTACTGTGAGTAGTGTTCTCTGTTCTATAACAATCCCGGGTAACTACTGACCACTCAAAGTGAACCCCAAAGTTTCTCAAACAATTTTAAACTCAGTTTGTTTTAAATGAATGCTCTAGAACACTGGTTCTCAACCCTGGTTACATGTTAGCATCACCTAGAGCACCTTCATAAATACCAAGGCCTAGCTCCCTCCCTTCCATACTCACCACCCTTCAAAGATTTGTGTCTAACTGGTTTAGAGTGAGACCTATACATCAGCTACTTCTTAAAAGCACTTTGGCTATACTGATAAATTAAGGTGTTATTATTTTAGGTATGACAACAGAATTACGGCTGGGTTTTGGAAAAGGCTTTCTTAGTGGAAAAACTGGTAAAATTCAAATAAGGTCTCCGCTTAGTTGATAGTGTGGAACTGCTATTAATTTCCCAATTTTGATCATTGTACTAAGGGTCTGTAAAATGCTCACTTTAAAGGAAGCTGTGTGAGGGGTATAGAGGAACTCTCTAAATTATTTTTATGACTTTTTTCTAAGTATAAAACTAGTAAAGATTTTGAAAAGTTTTTTAAAGAGTCCTTCACTTTTAAAGATACATACTTTGGGGTGTCTGGGTGGCTCAGTTGGTTAAGCCTAAGTGTCCAACTCTTGATTTGGCTTAGGTCATGATCTCACTATCATGAGACTGAGCCCCACACAGAGCCTGCTTAAGATTCTCTCTCCCCCTCTCCCCTGTGCCCCCATGCTGCTTGTGCTCTCTCTTAAGAAAGACACATATTTAAGTATTTATGAATGAAATTATATGCCTGAGATTTGCTGCAAAATAGATCAGTTGGAGAGGTGGCAGGGAGTGAGTGGGGGGCATACACAAAATAGGACCTTACACAAACTGATGGCTGTAGTCAGCAGCTGGGCAATGAGTGCAGGAAGGTTCCCAATATTTGTCTGCTTCACTGTGTGTGCGCATAAAATTTTCCATCCTAAATACTGGAGGCAGAAATTCCCAGGTGATTCTAACACACATTCAGGGCCAAGAAATACTGCTCGAGAGTCTTGGAAATGAAGTATAATGAGAAGCTCTACCTAGTATGACAATCTACAAAATATTCGGCTCTTTGACGCTGAGCTAGTCGTTCAATCTTTATTTCTTACACTTTCCTAAACTACAAAACAACAGAAATAGACTAAAGGACCTTTCAAAAAGAAGATGAGAACTATCATGACATAGATTTACTGTTCTAAAATCTTCTATGAATTAACATCATTGTTAATTTCTAGCACAATAATAAAAAATGGGAAGGTCTTGTGTCTGCAAAAGCAGTTCCCAAAGAATATTCTTTTAAAAACCTACTTCTATAAGAAATTACCTAGGATAAGGGTTCTGGGATCAAATAAGTTTGAAAAACACCAGTTTTATTTCCTGTAAGATTCCTAAGAACTTTTTGTTTTGTTTTTGAAATATTTATTTTCTAATGAGCATACAAGGTGAAGATTCAATAAAAATATGTCAATATTTTACTCATACAGACCTTCATAGCATGACCTCTTGTCAAGCAAACTACACACGACTCTCAGAATATACAAATAGTTTTTTTGGGGGGGGCCTAAGAACTTTTAATAAGATTAATACGCATCGTGACTTTCCAAGGGTAGTGACGGAATAAGCAAAAAGTCTGACTTTCTTCACATGGGACTAGTTCTGTAGAATTTATTTTGGAAAACAGTGCTCTAGACCAGTGGTTCCCAAATCTCAGGTAATGGAGAATGGAATCGGTATCATTTGATAAGCTTATTAAAATAATGATTCATAGACCACATCCTAGAACTACTGGCAGGAAAGGAAAACTCGGTCTTTAAACAAGTGAAAAACTCAAGAGATTCTGATACACAGTCACATTTGAGATTTAAATTTCTGTAGATCATAATACAGTAAAATAAGCTTATAATATTTAAAAGACCACAATAATGCCAACCACTACGAAAATATGAAATGACAATTTGGAATGCTCCCCCAAATAAAAGAATTTAAGCCATGAGGGAAGCATATATGTATACATTTTATGAAAGGTAAGTAGTAAAATATTGGAGGTGTTGGCAAATTCAAATCAATATACCTAGTGACAACTCTGTAATTATCTTAAGGATTTACTACATTTATTACTAATTGTTAATGAATTTGCAGTGATTCTCAACTCTCTCTGTGTTTCCCCATATCTGTCTTCTTCTCAAGTCCGAATCAATGACCAGGACTGTTTTGTTAAATAACTCCAGGAGTTGCCATTAACATGAGTGGTTTCTCAGTAACAGAGCTCCTGACCTTTTCTTTATGTGATACTACTTCGAGGTATCAGGAATCTCAATCCAATCTCTTCTTTCCTGAAAACTTCGGAAAATGTTTGTACTACACCTTAGTGCTCACAGAGCTGTGCCATGCAGCAGCCCAGTCAATGATATATTTCAGTGTTTAACAGAAGTACCTTATTATTCTCAATAATTACTAAACATCTGTATCATGCACTTTAGTTTTCGAAGTACTTTCACAGGAATTATCTTGCTCCTTCCCTCACAAAAACCTTGTGGATTGAATAGGCCTAAATGTTTCCATTCAACCAATAAAAATCACTGAGCATTTCATATGTTCATACTGTGAAAAAGTAACTGAAAGAGATTATCAAGGCTCCTGCTCTCAAACAACTGATACCCTATTGGAAAACAAAATATAAATGACATACAGGAAACAGCTAAAGTCAATTCAAAGATAAAATGTTAGCTAGAGCAGATTAGTATGGCAGGATTTTACATACTAATAGTAGCTAACACTTACTGAGCAATTTAATCTTCGTTCAACCCTTGGGATAGGTTACTACTCTTTTTCAGATGAGAAAACTGAGACCAGGAGAACTTAAGTAACTTACCCAAGCAAATAAATGGTGAACCAAGATTCAAATTCCAGATTTGTCCAGCTCCTTTTTATTACATTTTACTCCTTTTTATCAATACATTTTTTTACATTTTATCATTACATTTTACTGCTAGGAAAGACAATCTATCTAAAGCAACGGGGACAAATGTCAAGACTAAATCAGAAAATGACCATTTCCCATAAAGCTTGGATCACTGGCTCTACTGCCCAGCACAAACGGAGTTGGGAGTCGGAGGAAATCACAATAATGAGCAGGTGATGTTATTTTGCCACAGTACATTACCTCTTTGATTCGTTTAACCAAAGCATTCTGATCAAAGGCAACGGCCTCTGCACACTGATGAAGATGATCCTGATATCGGAGGCAGAGCTGTAACACCTGCTGAGAATCCAGTTTCTCCAATTTGGTATTTGTTGGGGAAGTCTGGCCACTCAATAGCCCTTCAAACAGAAAATAAAAAATGAAATGAAATGGAAGTTACTATTAATAAATTTGTTTTATAAGTAACTTAATAAGGTCACTGAAGATGGGGTAGGAGACTAAAATTTAATCTTTTGCTACATTACATTACATCTTTTGCTACATGCTAATGACAGTCATAGAAACCATCACTGAAGGAGCATCTCTTATATACCAAGCACTAGGCAAAGTGTTTCATATGCATTATTTTCATAATCATAATTTCCCTAGAAAGTAAGGTATTATTAATCCCATTTCATAGATAAACTCAAGACACACAGAAATGAAGATTTAAAAAAAAAAAGAGTGACATAGCATAGTATAGTCATAGTAAGTGGTTTCTCTAGAATACAGCTCTTGACCATTAGAAACTATTTCAATGTATCAGGAATATAAATCCCTACTTGAATGAAAACTTTGGAAGATGTTCTAATACATCTTTTAATAATGTAATGATCATCTGACTTTAAAACAAAGGCTGCAGCCAGAGACAAAGAAGGGCATTACATAACAATAAAGGGATCAATCCGTTAAGAGGCTATAACAATTACAAATATTGATGCACCCAACACTGGAGCACCTAAATACATGAAACAAATACTAAAAGATATAAAGGAAGAGACTGAACAGTAGGGGACTTTAATATCACACTTACATCAACGGATAAATCAGACAGAATTAGATAGAAAATCAATAAGGAAACAATGGCTTTGAACAACACATTACATCAGATGGACCTAACAGAAACATTCCATCCAAAGATGGCTGAATATGCATTCTTTTTTTTTTCTTCGAAGATTTATTTATTTACTTATTGAGAGACAGCACAAGCAGGAGGGAGGGGCAGAGGGAGAGGGACAAGCAGACACCACGCTGAGCAAAGAGCCTGACACAGGACTCGATTCCAGGACCCTGGGATCATGACTTGAGCTGAGGGTCGACGCTTAACCGATTGAGCCACCCAGGGGCCCCAGAACACACATTCTTTTTAGGTGTATATGAAACATTCTCCAGGACACACCACACATTAGGCTGTAAGACAAGTCTTAATAAATCTAAGAAGACTGAAATCATATCAAGCATCTTTTCCAACCACAATGCTATGAAACTAGAAATCAATTATATGAAAAAAAAAATGGAGGGACACCTGGTAGCTTGGTCTGTTAAGAGTCTGCCTTCAGCTCAAGTCATGATCCTAGAGTCCTGGGATCACGTCCTGAATCGGGCTCCTTGCTCAGCAGGGAACGTGCTTTTCCCTCTGCCTGCTGCTCCCCCTGCTTGTGCATTCTGTCTCTGACAAATGAATAAAATCTTAAAAAAACAAACAAACAAAACAAAAAAAAAACTATTAAAAAAAAGAACTAGAAAAAATACAAACACATGGAGGCTAAACAACATGCCACTAAATAGCCAATGAGTCAATAAATAAATCAAAGAGGAAATAAAAAAATACATGGAGACAAATGAAATGAAATGGTCCAAAATCTTTGTGACACAGCAAAAGCAGTTCTAAGACGGAAGCTTATAGTGATACAGGCCTACTTCAAAAAGCGAGACAAATCTCAAATAAACAATCTAACCTGACACTTAAGAAACTAGAAAAAAAAGAGAATGACAAAGCCCAAAGTTAGTAAAAGGAAGCAAATAATAAAGATGAGAGTGGAAATAAATTGAGACTAAAAAACAAGAAAAGATCAATGAAGCCAAGAACTGGTTCTTTAAAAAGATAAACAAAATTGATAAACTTCTGGCAAGACTCCTCAAGAAAAAAAAAAAAAGAGAGAGAAGACTCAAAATCAGAAATGAAGAAATAATAACTGATATCACAGAATACAAAGAATTATAAGAGACAACTATGAAAACTTATATGCCAACAAATTGGACAACCTAGAAGAAATGGATAAATTCCTAGAAACATACAATCTTCCAAAACTGAGTAAGGAAGAATAGAAAATTTGAACAAACCAATTACTAGTTATAAAATTGAATCAGTAATAAAAGCAACAACAACAATAACAAACTCCTTTCAGCCAAAGTCCAGGACCAGATGGCTTCACAGATAAATTATATCAAGCATTTTAAAAAGAGTGAAAGCCTATTCTTCTCAAACTATTTCAAAAAACAGAAGAGGAAGGAAAACTTATAAATTCATTCTTCCAGGCCAGCATTACCATTACCAAAACCAAAGACAGTATAAAAAAAAAAAAACAAAAACAAAGGCCAATATCCCTGATGAGCACAGATGCAAAAATCCTCAACAAAATATGAGCAAACCGAATTCAACAATACATTAAAAGATCATTCACCACAATCAAGTGAGATTTATTCCACACATGCAAGGGTGGTTCAATATTCAGAAATCAGTGAATGTTATACATCATATCAACAAAAGAAAAGATAGAAACCATACAATCATCTCAACAGATTCAGAAACAGTATTTGACAAATACAGTATCTGTTAATGATTAAAAACTCTCAATAAAATGCGTTTATAGCAACATACCTCAACATAATAAAGTATGAAACACAGCTCACATCACACTCAATGGTAAAAAACTGAAAGCTTTTCCTCTCAATTCAGAAACAAGACAAGAATGTCCACTCTCACCACTTTTATTAAACATAGTACTAGAAGTCCTAGCTTCAGCAATCCGACAAGGGAAAGAAAAGCATCTAAATTGGTAAGAAAGAAGTAAAACTGTCATTATTTGCAGAAGACGTGATGCTATATATAGGAAACCCTAAACACTCCACCAAAAACCTTAGAATTAATAAATGAGGGGCGCTTGGGTGGCTCAGTTAAGTGTCTGCCCTCAGTTCAGTCATGATCCCAGGGTCCTGGGATTGAGCCCCATGTCAGGGAGGGAGCAGGGAGCCTGCTTCTCCCTCTCCCTCCTACCCTTCTCCCTGCTCATACTTGCTCTCTCAAATAAATAAATAAAAATTTAAAGCACTAATAAATGAATCCAATAAATCTTCAGGATATAAAAACTAATATACATAAACCTATTGTACTTCTATATACTATAAATAAAGTAGCAGGAACAGAAATTTTAAAAATCCCATTTAAAATTGCACCTAAGGGGTGCCTGGGTGGCTCAGCCAGTTAACTGTCTGTCTTCAGCTCAGGTCATGATCCCAGGTTCCTGGGATCAAGCCCCACATCAGGCTCCCGGTTCAGCAGGGAAGTCGGCTTCCCTCTCTCTCTGCCCCTCCCCCTGCTCGTGCTCTCTCTCTCTCTCTCTCTCTTTCAAATAAATAAATAAATAAATAAAATCTTTAAAAAAAAATTGCACCCAAAAGAATAAAATATCTAGGTATAAATTTAAACGAGGTGAAAGACCTAAACTCTGAAAACTATAAGATACTGATGAAATAAACTGAATATGGAACTAATGGAAAAATATACTATGTGCATGGATTAGTTTCGTTAAAATGTCCATACTTCCCAAAGCATCCACAGATTCAGGGCAATCCCTATAAAAATACCAATAGCTGAGGAATTTGAGAGGTAGGGTGGGAAGTTTGGGGGGTACAGAAGGGAAAAATGAAACAAGATGGGATTAGGAGGGAGACAAACCATAAGAGACTCAATCTCACAAAACAAACTGAGGGTTGCTGGGGGGTGGTGGGGTAGGGAGAAGGTGGTTGGGTTATGGACATTGGGGAGGGTATGTGCTATGGTGAGTGCTGTGAAATGTCTAAGCCTGATGATTCACAGACCAGTACCCCTGGGGCAAATAATACATTATATGTTAATAAAAATAATTTTTAAAATACCAATAGCATTTTTCATGGAACTGGGACAAATAATCCTAAAATTATACAGGAACCACAAAAGACCTGGAATAGCCAAAGCAATCTTGAAAAAGCAGAACAAATCATAACACCACACTTCATGATATAATACAAAGCTATAATAATCAAAATGGTATGGTACTGGCACAAAAACAGACCAATGGAACAGGACACACTTAAATGGTCAATTAATCTACAACAAAGGAGCCAAGAATGTACAATGGGGAAAAGACAGTCTTTTCAATAAATGGTGCTGGGAAAACTGGACAGCTACATGCAAAAGGATGAAGCTGGACCACTGTCTTAACACCATACACAAAAGTAAACTCAAAATGAATTCAAGACCTAAGCGTGCAACCTGAAACCATAAAAGAAAACATAGTTATCTCTTGGACTTCAGCCTTACAACATATTTATAGATATTTCTCCTTGGGCAAGGGAAACAAAAGCAAAAATAAACTACTGAGACTATATGAAAATTAAAAAGCTTTTACACAGCAAAAAACAAAAACCATCAACAAAACAAAAAGGCAACCGAGTGAATGGGAGAAGATATTTACCAAAGATATATCTGAGAAGGGGCTAATACCCAAAATACATAAAGACCCAAAATCCATAAAGAACTTAGACAACACCAGAAAAACCCAATCAATCTGATTTAAAAATGGGTAGAGGACCTGAACAGATATTTTCCCAAAGACATACGGATGGCTCATGACACATGGAAAAGATGCTCAACATCATTAATCATCAGAGAAATGCAAATCAAAACCACAATGAGATAATCCCCTTGCAACAGTCAGAATGACTAGTATTAAAAAGACAAGAAACATCAAGTGTTGGCAAGGATGTGGAGAAAAGGGAACCCTCAGCATCGTGGTGGGAATGTAAATAGGTGAAACCATTGCATAAAACAGTTTGGAGGTTCCTCAAAAAATTAAAAATAGAAATACCATATGACCCAGTAATTCCACTACTGAAAATTTACCCAAAGAAAATGAAAACACTAATTTGAAAAGATATATGTAACACTTATGCTTATCATAGCATCATTCATAATAGCCAAATTATAGAGGCAGCCTACATGGCCATCAATAGATGAATGGATAAAGAATATATACAGATCTAGAAGACACAAAGACACACACACACACACACACACACACACACACACACAGAGGAA